TAAAAAAGGGGAACAACAGGTTCAGACTCATCCCATATAGTCTTGCAAGGCACAGACTCAGTCACTTCTATAGGACTTGCTCAGCTCGCTCAATGAATCTAAGCAACATTATCTACCAGATGTCTAGAAAATTTCTTAAAATGGCCCAAGAAGCACTTAATACATTGTACTATATTATAGTCACATTATGTTACTTATGTTACATTATGTTGTCAGCCAGTAGGAACTATGCATCAAGTTTGCTTATTTGGGGAATTTGGAATTAACTGTAATGCAATAAAGCTGCTATGAGTTATTGGTGAATTATGGCTTGTCGGAATCACTTTAATCTTTAACTAGCATGACTAAGAATCATTTGTTTGGGCAATCTCTTATACTGCAATCATGCAGAATAAGTCGTTTAATTGTGGGTTTACTCTGGGTTCATTCCCATGTTGTGCATGACATTATATTACCGCACTACGGGCATGGGAACTGCCTTGCATCTACCAACAGTGTCTGTCCATATATGCTGCTCTGCTTATTTCCATAGAATGGAGCATCATATATACCATGGACTTGCATGATTCTTCTTTACCATAGTTATGATACAATGGTCTATACTATGCATACCATACTATGGTCTATTTAGTCCAATTTCTTGCTGCAAGAAAAAATATCCCTTACTAATATCTGAGGGGGAATATCTCTTGGAATTCAGGGGGCCACAAGAAGAAAGAATTCCAACATCTTCCTCAATTTACTCTCTCGCTTGATTATACATATGTTAAAAAATTCCAAAACTGAAAGGCTAGAACATTTCCTTATTCTGCAGGAAAGAAACAAATGCATGCAAACAAGGGTTATATAATCAATAATGTATCAAAACAAAAGAGCAGTATCAAGGCAGATTTCATTACCAAGAGCAATGAACTGAGTCTTCCACTCAAGTGCTAACTTTTTTATTGCTGGGAGGGTCGGATCAGTGAGTAGCCTAGAGCATCTGTTTTCTTTGCCTCAGCCAGGAAGCTAAAATGCATTAATTCTGATTTTTTCTTTTCTTTTCTCAACAACAACCTTGCTCTCCAAAAGCAAAAGCAAAAACCAAACTGAGAGTTACCTCTTGATGGAAGTCAATTTCTGCAATACTTGAATTGCATGCACAATGTAGTCAAAATATCAAAAGCACTTTATCTAGAAGGTAGGAATGATGACTTTGCAATCTACATTGATTTGCCATGATGCTTGAATACATGGAAGGTCCATGCAATGGTTCTTAAGCCCTGTTGTCCAAGTGGCAAATGACCACCATTAATTTGAGGATCTCCAGCGCTAGCCTGGGGTAGATGAGAGAGAAAGTAAAGGAATACCACTGTACTCACCAGTGACTGCTGATACCATAATGTTCTTTTTGGAGGAGTGTTCCCAGTCATATCCAAGATTTCCAAATAAGGAAATTGGGCATCGTGGGGGAGATGCCGTCCCTTTAGCCTCCCTGTAGCAGGTTCATGGAATGGGAAAAAATAGAAGTTGTCGGAGTGCTCTGGCTGAAGGCTCGCTCTGTGTATGTGGGTCGGGGGGGTTATGTAACCAGAGACCCCCATTTGTTTATGCTGTGACACCGGCGTCATGACTCTGCTCAATAACTCTTAACTGCTGCCCTGGCATTCAGTCAGCCCAGTAAATTAAAAGGTGGTACGATTTCTTTCTCCTGGCTGCAGCAGGTTTGTTTATGTCCATGGACACTGATTCTGGAATAAGAAGGGGAAACAATCCAGGGTTGTGGGGGGAGGAGGAGAATAAGAGGATGTTGGTTCTTTGACCCGTACAGACAAGCAGAAGAAAACAATGAAAAGGAAGAATTACCATAATTACTATATTTACAGGGATATTGTGGTGGCACTGCCAACTTTCCCCCATAGATATTAGTGCAGAATTATTACCCGAAATGTTTAGATATTTGGAATGCCGTCTCAACCCCTAATTCTCCTGGGAGGCTAGAGTCTGATCCCACAGGCTTCACAGATGTGAAAGAAGGCTGTGGTTGCATTCCTTCTGACAGACAGGCACCAATGAAATCAGCAAGACATAATTTGAATAGTACACTTAATGAGTTAGGATATCCATAATTCCACCCCATGAAATCAATTCTACATATTTCCCTTGAGGTTACCATGTTTACAGTCAGTAGAAATGTCCAATTTCTCTCAGATTTCTGCTAAATTATGTGAGTCATGCCAGAAGGGGTAGTCAACCTTTTGAGCCCCATTGGCTACACAGCTTTCAAGATTAGGGATCAAGGCCGCAAAAGCATTGACAAATTCAAGCGCAGCACCTCCTGCCTTAGACACGCTCCTCACCTCTCTTCCAGTCCATTTCCTACTGACTAGCCCATGAATAATGCAACAAAAGGATAAATGCGTCTCACTAGTCATTGGCTTGCATAGCGCATCCTTTTTGCTTTTGCACACTAACTAAAGAAAGCGCAGATACAGTGGGGCAAAAAAGTATTTAGTCAGCCACCAATTGTGCAAGTTCTCCCACTTAAAAAGATGAGAGAGGCCTGTAATTTTCATCATAGGTATACCTCAACTATGAGAGACAAAATGGGGAAAAAAATCCAG